TGTAGGTGGGGTGTGTGGATGTGGGGAATGGTCTGTGGCTAAGGGAAAGGGTGTGGGTATAGGTACCCCTAGGGGTAGTACATAACCATAGGTGTAAGGGGCTCTGGGGAGTGTAAGTGGGGTGTGTGGATGTGGGGAAAGGTCTGTGGCTAGGGGAAGGGGGGGGGAGTACAGGGACCCCTGGAGGCAGGGCATAACTATGGGTGTAAGGGGCTTTGGGGGGGGTAAGTGGTACTGAGGGGGTGTATGGGGGGTATGTGGCACTGGAGAGCAGGTGTGAGTACAGGACTGTGGGTGTAAGGGGATTTGGGAGGTGTAGGTGGGGTGAGGGTATGGGGAAGGGTCTATGGCCAGGGAATGGGGTATAGGTACAGGTACCCCTGGGGGCACTACATCACCATGGATGTAAAGGGTCCTGGGGGGTGCTGAGGGTGTGGGGAGGGGTCTATGGCCAGGAGAAGGGGTGTGGGTAAAGCTACCCCTGGGGACAGTACACAACCATACGTGTAAGGGACCCTGGGGGCACAGCTGAGCGGGTGCATTAGGATCTCTCCTCTGCCTGGCAGGTGCTGGAGCAGCTCCCTCCTGGGGCACTGGGCACTGCGCTGGTAGCCAAACTGAAAACAGACAAGGGTGCCCAGAAGAAATACCTAATAAAACAGGTGAGAAGGCTGTTGCTAGGAAAACAAGAGTCCATGGCATGTTTGTCATGTCTATGGGTGCTTCTGGTAGTAACAAGAGACACATTTTAGGCAGCTCAGCCACTGGGTGAGAGTAGCTTACACCTTCCTGTGCTGCTTTTTTGGAGAATGGAAGGTTCAGATCAGTTTACTGGAATGTTGAGGCTTAAAGCAGGGAAAGGGCAGCAGCCAATTTAGGTCCATTCAGTGTGTTCTCAGCTCATTGCTGCCTTGGCAGTGCAGGGGAAGCAGTGGGCTAACTGTCACACACTCATTTAAAACTCTGGTTTACCCGTCTCCTAGCAACACTGCTCCAAACATGAGAGATTTGAGCTATCACTGAAAATCTATGTCACTTCACACAGAATTTGCAGTTCCAGTCATCTCGACAAACTTGTTGTGGCTTAGTGTTCCCCTGTGTCTATGTGACAGTCTCATCTTTGTCTTCTGTTTGGTGCAGGTTGAATGCATTGAACAAAACCAAGCAGATGAAGCCTTGAAGGAGGTATTGGTGCAGTTTTTTGTTCCTACTTCACTTACAAAGACCAAAGTCTTAACAGAACCAAGTCTTTTATCTGCAAGGATTAGCTAAGTAAATGATAAGTAAATCGGGTCAGACTATTTGTGGGGTGTTCTCTGTGCCCTCTGAGCTCAGGGCAGGAGTTTGTGTTAACTGTTGTTGTATTTGGATATGTAGACAGCTCTTTTCAGAGGATGGTCCTTTCTCAGAGCTTGTGTTCATTTTGTGCTGAGAACAGAGAGCAAAACTCATCCTTTTGGCCTTTAAACTGAAGGAGAACCTTGATCTGTTTATAGTTTTTCATTAATTTCTAGATAACACTTTTCATGATATGTTAATTTCTCAGGGTTGGACTTTTTAAATGTGGATTATTTGACTTATTTTCTTCCTTTGTTGTACTTGTTTGGGGTTTTTTTTGTGCAAACTTGATGCAATGCCTCGAGTAAGAAGCAACATCAGAAATACTCTTAAAATACCAAAAATTGTTTCATCAAAATATGTGAACTAGCACACTGGGATTAGTCTCCCAGTGTCCAGTGTGGTATCTAGAGCTGGAAAGGGATCTGTGCAGATGCTTCATCCTGCTTGGAGAGGTGACCTCTTCCTGTACCGAAACTGGTGTTACTGACAAAACTGGATCCAATTTTTCTGCTGATGTCTATTGCAGTAACTATTGAGACACAAATCTATGGAAATAAATGCAGCTGTGGCAGCTGGGAATGTGACTCTTAGTTTTTCTGTTGTGTCTGCACAGCCACAAACACAACTGTAGGAGAGTGACTTGAATTCTTTGTGCCTTCTACAAAATCAGCAATTTTGCTGAAGTAATTTGGAACTGTTAGAGCCCCACACGGAAACCAATCTCAAGGAGATAAACATCTCTCTAGTGTCGTCATATTCTCTGAGGTTCAGGCTTGCATGAGGGTTACAGGAAACAATGGCTAGGCTAGAAAAATCATCCTGACTGCAAATCTAAGATGTGTTTTCAGGTTTGGATGTTAGGAACTGAAGAGAGGAGGTGCTTACATATCATCTCCCTCTGGATCAATTTGTGTCCTCCAGTCTCACAAGGCTCTTGCAGCATTGAGTAAAGTCTTGGGGAAATAGTTTCCTTAACTCAACACTTGTGAATGAAATTACATAACAAAGCCTTGGGGAAATATTTTCCTTAACTCAATACTTGTGAATGAAATTACATAACAAAGCTGGAAGAGTTTGGCCAGAAATGTGACCTGAACAAGGCAGGAACTGATTTAGGGTATTATTTAAGGTCCTGTTAAAGGGAAGGACTGTGGACTCTCTGTTGTTTTTTTTCCTTCTGTACAGGCAATGGATTTGCTAAAACTTTGTCATTCAAACATCTGTGCTTACAAGGAATTTTTTGTGACTTGGGATAATGAGGTGAGAATGGAATAGCAATGGTTAAACTGGAATACATGGGTTATGTTGTAGGCACATGAGCATGTTTACAGGTTTCAATTTGGGGTCACTGGTGGGAGATGCTTCAAAAAAAAGGTTACTTGATTTGAAACCAACCTGATTTTTAACTCCTGAAGAAACACACTGAAAAGCTGTTGAAGATCTGTGGGTTGGAGTCCATCCCATGGGACTATTCCCCACTGACTCAGATTCTGATGTCAGTGTGCACTGCTGATCTCCTGCATGAAAACCATTTTGTAGGAGAACATAAGAAGCTGAAAGCTCTGATTTATTTACTTCCAGATTTTATTCAGTGCTTAGGCAAAGTCTGCATTGATTTTTATGGATGTGTAATTGATCTGAATTGTCCCAAATGGCTTCAGATAAATGGCTGATAATGGTGGGTTGTTTTGTTTGTTTTGAAACAACAAACATGCTGTGTTTTTAATGCAAGAAATTAAATATTGTGTCCTCTGTGAGAGGTTTATCATCTCAGAACACTTTCCAAACTGGTGTGATGTTCACCAGTACCAAAAGTGCTTCGTTTTGTCTTTCTTACCTGCAAACAATTAGGCAATTTTGCTGTGATGCTTTATTACAGATATCATCTCTGTTCCTCTGTCTGGTAATGCATCATTCAGGCCAAGGAGATCTTTCAGCTCTAATCAAGGAGAAAAGGCAGAAGTCAGAAAAGATCACAGACATGGTAAAAAGTACAGAGGAGGCACCTGGTAGAACTGACAGTGTTGGTTTTATAGTCCTTCCTCTGTGTTCCTCCTTAAAGTCCTTTCTGAAACCTTCAAAGCACAGGAGGGTGGTTTTGGAAACTCTTCCAAAAGATATTGGAAATTTCTTCTGTTTGTGTTACACTTTCATGTCTGTTCTCCTCAACAGGTGGTTCAGAAGTTCCTGGGACAGATGGTGGATGCTTTGTTTTATATACACAGCCTAAATATTTTCCACAGGTGAGCAGAAATCGTCTTCTCCTTGTCTGACAGGTTATTGTTTGCTGTGGCTGTTGGTTCAGCACAGTGCTCGGAGGCAGGAATTTTACTGTTCCAAAGGAGGAGGAGGGGGTAGAAATTCCAGGCTTTAGATTAGTTTTCTGTGACTTTTGAAGTCATCAATTTCTTGGGTTTTGTCTGGGATTACCCACTGAATGATGTGTTATCTCTTGCTATTTTGAACATGCTCAAAATTGCCCATGTCTGTTAATGCTCACATTTTGGTGGCTGTGATGGACAAAGACACTTTGTGTATCCAAGGGACAACCATTGCATTCCACGTTCAGATCAATTTGTGTCACAATCCCAAGTTTTAAAGCATTTCACAGTAAAAGAAGAATATAATTGTATTTCAGTTGATTATCATTTGTGTATTAAAAAACCCCAATAAAACACAGACAAAAAACCCCCATAGATAAAAACCCTTCAAATCACCCTCCTCCCCCCTCAAAAAACCTCAAACAACCACCAGCCAACCAAAAAGAAAACCCACAAAAAAACAACCCAATCCTTCTTGAGGGTTAAATATTTTGGGAATCTGTAGTTCTGTATCATTAGACTCTAATTTCACAGCCTGACAGAAATACTTGTGTTGCAGAAATCTCAAGCCATCAAACATTCTTGTGACTGGGGAAGCATCCTTCATGCTTAGTGACTTCAGTACAGGAACACTCATGGCAGATGAGATGAAATGGAAAATAAGAGTGGAAGAAAGTAGATATTTGTTTTACTTATCCTTTTTTTTGGTTGTTTTTCAAACTGTATTGTTAAAAGATTCAGCTGTGATGGAGATTTTTTTTAGTCCTCGGAGAAAAATGAGTCAAAGAGGAGGAAAAAATTACCTTCCCCTTTCTCTGTACTAGACTGTTTGTCTTCTAAAGGATGAATAGGAGATTCACAGGCAGTTGCCTGTTCACAAGGGAAAACTGTAGATGTGCCTGTGAGACTCAGGATTCTGCACTCAATGCAGTTAGAATCCTTTTTAGCTTTATACATGCCCCTAGAAATTTGTTTGTTATACTGTTCCTTAGTGTTTTGTGCCATATCACCAGTAAAAAATGGCTAATCTCTGCAGAATATCTCTATTTTTAGGCATGAACCAACTGCAGTTTATGCACGTGGAAGTGTCAGCAACATCACCATAGGATTCTTCTTTCTACAGGCAGCAAGTCTTGGATGGCTCCAGAAGCACTTGGATTTTCCTTTACTGACAAGTCTGACATTTGGTCCCTGGGCTGTGTTCTGCTGGAGATGATGAGCTGCTTGGTTCTCAGTGTAGGTCACAATGTTTCATTAGAGAGTTAAAATGTCATGGCCCCACCAGGATGTCAGTAAATGTGTCTGTGAAAGCTGTCCTGGCACTGTGCTCTTTGCAGGCAGAAGAGATAACTTTGTTACTGCAGAACATCAGAAGGGACAGCACTCCCCTTGAGGGAGTCCTGACACTGCTGGGAGATGGAGAGAGCAACTCTCTGCCTTTGATTCCAGTTCTGTTCATGATGCTACAGATTCAGCCCAGCATGAGACCCACAGCAAAGTGAGTTCTGGCTGCTTTCCCTTGCTTGGTTTGTCCTAAACATCTCCTACCTGCTCAGGTTTGGAGTGTTAGCTACTGTTGGAAAGGGGTTGAGTCAAAATTGCTCATCAACAAGTTGAGGAAATCAAGAAGACTTGGTGTTCACTCAGAAATGTTCACTGCTATGCATAGGTGTCTCCTTACATCGCAAATGCATCTTACACACAAGTGTAGAAGCTATTAAGTTGCAGGGTAAACTCTTTCATGAGCTGTTTTGAAGTAAATTGTTTAAGTTCTGTCAAAAATAATGCATATCATAATCAATAATCTTCAAGGAAATAGTACTAGTGTTTTTAGATCAAAAGGAAGCAAAGCCGGTAGATTTTTTTCTGCTTTTTTTTTTTTTTTTTTTTGATAACTTACCAATTCTAACTTGCTACTGCTTCTGTCTCTTGAAATTCCAGGGATCTGGCTGATGTTCCATTCATTAGGGAATGCCTGACTTTTGTTGGTGCCTCTTCAGTAAACCTGAAGAAGTCTTTGCCTCCCCAAATAACAGATGATCTCCTTGAGGGAGGAATTGAGCAAGTTCTAGGTCAGTAGGAGATTAAGATTGGTGTAATGGTGGTTTTCATTGGAAATAAGTCTAGACGTTTGCCAGTCAGGATGTGTGGTCTGCTGGAAAATGAGTTATTGGACATTCATTTCACCTGAACTGAACTGGGATGCTGTTTGAGGCAAGGATCATCACTACAGAGCTGTTTCCATAACCCCCAAGCCACACCTACTGCTCAAGGGAAATGGAGTCAGAGGTGATTCCTTAGAAAACTGGGGAATTCCACTCATTGTGTCTGCATTGTAACATGTTTGCTAATTCATGCAACAATTATACTCCATTATTTTCCTTCTAAGTAAAGAAAGATATTATCTTAATCTGAAAAGACTCTTGGAATAATCCATTTAAAGCTCCTATTTACCATTCCATCAAGTCCCCAAAATACATAATGCCAAATATATTGTGAATCATAATGTTTTGTGATAGGGAAATGTTTCAGTTAGGGGAAAATTTTTCCTCTTTCCAACAATCACAGTTTTCATCCATCTGAATTCACATTTCATACAAAACAGAGGCAATTTGGAGTGGGTTTTGGGGAGAGTTTTATCAAAGGGTTACAAGTATTCTGTTGGTGTGTGCAGATTTCATGCAGGCTGCCTGGGATGTTGAACAAGTGCAAGCTAAAGCCATTCAGCACCTTGCCAGCTTTGTGAGGGACAAAAGTGGTAAGTTTTGTGACTCTATTTGTTCTGCTCCTTCCTTACATTTTGAGATAATAGGAAGAGGAAAAACTTTCTCATGACAATAAATGAGAGTGAAATTTCTCTCTTCCCGTTTCTCCTTTTTAGAACACACTAGAACAGGTCACTAGCTCATAAGATTGTGTTGGAACTTGTTTTATACATACTTTTATTGACAGCAGAGGGTTTTACTGGGTAAGAAAAATGGGCAGTAGAAAAAAAACCACAACAGTGATATTTCATTTGGCATATGAGGTGAATTGACAAACTGACATTCGAGGAAGGTGATTTGTACAAGTCCTGGGGGTAATTCCTGGGGCTGCAAGACTGGCAGAGTGAAGGGAAGCTACACATGGCTAATTTCTGGGTGTGCAGTGAAGCTGTGAGAGTGAAGATTGGATGTTTTCTCCCAGCAGCTGCACATCTTTCAGATGAAGCTTTCAGACCAAGATTAGTATTTTCAAAGCACTGTGTTAACTCAGTTATCAAGTGCACTGTCATTTCACAGTGCCAGCATTTTAATGCTCCTGATGTTGAAGCACAGAGGTGTTCCTAGCTGTAACTGATAGAGAAAATGGTTAATTTAGTTTTTTTCCTTTGAGTTACCTCTATCTTCAACTCTGCTGCTGAAGAAATGTAACACAATGGGCTTTGGTTGTAAATAGCAGGATGAATGGATCTTTGGGATTCTCTTACAGTCCTGGTGGCAGCAATACAAGGCTGTGCCTTCATCTGACTTATCTGGCCCTTCTTGCACCATGGCTCACCATGACTGATGCCCTCAGCTTTGAAGGTGCTCAAAATGGACCTGTCAAACCCATCCAGTTTTTCCTCAGCATTTTATCATACACTGAATAGCTATTGTATTGGCTATTCCAAAAGCTCCAGATCTTCCTAGAACTACAAGTCCTGGTGAAATACCTTTCTCTGCAGATTCTGAGCATGGTTTGGAGCTCATGCACAGTGTTGTACCCCAGAACTTGCTACCTGACCAGGGAAAGTGCCAGTGTGACCTGATGAGGAACATCCTGGCCTTGCATAGCCTTCAGCTGTCTATAATAAGAGACATTTCCCACAGAGATTAGAAAATTCACTCTGCATTGTTCCATCTCTACTTGCATTCTGTTCTTTCACTCAAGAATCTTGTCTCAAATAATTTCTTTTCCCCTCAGCCTTCCCCTACCTGCGAAAATTCACAGAAGTGATCACTTTTGCCATGAAGACTCACATAGATTCTCTCACGTTGCAAGTAGATGGCTGCACTTTATTGCTTGAAATTCTTAGTCAAGGTACAGGTATAAGATTTCCTCTTCCTTCTGTGGGTCATACAGCCTCGTTCTTGTAAAGATTAATGCAGCAGATAAGGTTTGAAATGGGTTCAATAATGATTTTTAGGGGATAAATTTGAAGTAAGAGAGGATTTTAACTGCCTTTCTGGATTCTCATGGGCTTTCTTCAGGACTGGCATAGATGAATTCTGTTTGAATTTTAAATACAAGTACTGATCTTAGGCTACCAAGGTTGTTTTCATGTAGAGTGTTACTAGAGTGCATAAATAAGAGACTCTTAGTGTTTTTGTATTTGAATTTCAAACCATGAAAGTGTTTTTTGGTGCCTTGTGTGTGGTCCCTGCTGGCAATTCCATGGCAATTTACCCCAATAACACCTGATAATGATGTAAGCTGAAGATACTAAGCATGGTGTTTCAGAAAATGAAAGTTTAAAGCAACTTTTGGCTGTGTTCTGTGAGGAAATGCTGTTAATTCAATGTTTTGCTATGCTGGCAGTGCTCAGACTTCAGTCAAAGCCTCTGAAATCTTTGTTCTGTTCAAATGTTTCTGGTGACAGCTCTGGAACAGGACGTGGTGATGGCCCTGGATGAGAGTGTGACCAGCTGCCTGTTAGACACAGTGAGAAAACACTCTGAAAAGGAAGAGCTGCTTTCATTGCTCTGCACACTATTGATGATGATTTCAGCTAGTGGTGGGTCACCTTGTTCAGTTTGGGGAATATTTGCATGTTCTTACTCATCTAAACAAATTCAAGGTACCACACAGAACTCCTGACTTCACTGAGGTGTGGATGTCTGTGGGTGTTAGTTTAATTGTGATAACATTGGTGAGGCTGACTAAATAGTAGATAACACTCCTGAAAGTATGAGATACACTGCTGAGGCCTGAAGGACCTGCAGATTTGTATCTCTTAGAGTTGTCCTGTATTTCATCTTGTTTTGGAAACAAGGACAAACTGTGCAAATAGTAGTGCTTGAGAAAATGAGGGCATAGAGCCTGGATTCTATTTTTGACTGTGCCATGAATTGAAACCATTCTACCTAATTTCTGCACTTTGGGTTTTTTTTCCCTCCTGAAATTGTAATTGCTGAGTGTTTGCAGTGTTTTTCACTTGTTCTCAGTGTCAGTTCACAGCCATCAGGAGATTGATTTTATAAGTGGTTACAGAAGGATTTGAAATGACATAGAGTCAATTCTAAGACCAAACTACTTGTATACATTGTTGACTAGTTCTGTAGCTGAGTTAGTTGGAATCGTTAAATTGCAAACACGTGAAAAATAGTCATTTATACCTTCAGCTCCTTTTCTGCTCTGTGGATTTGAAGCCTGTAAGGAAGAAGGGTGGCCAAACATCCATTTGAAAGGATCATGTGTGCTAAACCCTGTGCTTAAGTGCCTCTTGTTAAAGAATTCGGTCTGTTCTTTTGCTTTCTTTTGTCCTGCTGATGGTCTCATGTTACCGGTTTGGCATCACAGTTCAAACACGGTTAGGGTTGCCTCTTTCCAAGACAGTGAGTGGGACAAAACTACCAGATTCTATAGAATCTTTTTTTTTTCTGTGTTTTTTCAGAGGTAGCTGCAGAGAATCTAAAGAAAGTTGGAATAATTCCAGAGCTTCTGTCAATTCTAAGAAGTTTTCTTCATAATGACAAGATCTGCCTCTCTTGCTGTGGAGTTCTCTGGAGCTTGGCTGTGAGTGGTGAGTAGAACACAGCAAGTATTGTGCCTGCACTCCCGTGACTGAAAAATACAGCAGGTATTGTGCCTGATTGAGTTCAGACATTCCTTTGCTGGGCTTGGATTTTTCTGCTTTCTCTCATTCTTGTCCCCTGCCCATGGAATGAGATGATCTTTAAGGTCCCATCCAACCCAAAGCAATGATTCTGAGTCTGGGAAGATCTCTCCACAGCACTACTAGAATAACTTTGATCCAGAATTAAATTAGAGAACAATAAAAACTAATGCAGACTTTTTAGCAGCCTTTTTTGTGTCAAAGTCAAGTTTGTCCTGGTCAGGCCAAGAGGTCATGAACAGACTGTCAGAAATGGAAGGGTTTCTGGCTTGTCACTCAGGTGGTTTTGCTCTGCCCTTAGCAGAGGGAGGGCAGTGCAAACAGCATATCAGATTAGGTATCAGAATAATAATTGCAAGTAGTAGCATCTTATTTCTTTTCATCACACTTCTCTTGGCAGCACTGGGCTAAGTCTTGAGTTGGACATCTCCTAGAGACTTGGTTTCTGTGACCAGCTAAGCATCCATCCTGCAGAGCAGTCTGTCAAAGCAGTGGTTGTCTTTGGAGTTTTCTTGCTGTGCATGATTTAAATGGCAAAGAAAATTAGTTCCTGGAGTAGTTCAGCTTGCTCCAATAAACAGGACTATGAGTCCTGTAATATTTGGTTTGGTTTTGTACCTTTTAGATTCCTTCCCTCTGCTCTCCAGACTGAAATAATGCGACATTTCTCCACTGCCATTACCCATTAAGGCTTTACTGATGTAATTTGACATAAAATGCTGTGATTACTTGATTAAATAATTCTGCTTGATGTGTTTCCTTTTCATTAAGGTGACTCAGAGAATAATGCAGACCAAGCACTGCTGGGAAGTGCTGTCCCTGTCACCTCTGCAGTCCTTCAGGAACACCTCCAGAACGGAGCAGTTACAGAGTCTGCCTGCTCAGCTCTGTGGGCACTGTCACTCCAAGGTGTGTTTTCCCAGTCTCCTTGTCCCTTGGGCATGGAAAAGGCTTGTGTGTCTGTCAATGATGATCCCTGAAATCCAGGCTGCTTGGCCAGAGCAGGCTCTGCAGATGGCAGCAGAGGGAGGAATTTGCCTCTTCTCTTAACCAACTCTCCCCTGCACTCACTCTCTGACTCCCTAATGAAGCGATTTTTTGATGAGCTGTAGAAATTAAATCAGCAGATAGTGCTGATGGTGACCGCACTGATGTGCAGCCACACCAACCCACGCTGTGCAGAGCCTCTGGCTTCTCTCTTCAGCCCAAGAATCCCAGTTGTGCTACTTTTCTGAACACAGCATTAGTGTTGTGCAGCAGGGGCTGGGAGGTTGGTTTTATGCCATTTGCTCTGTTAATTGGGAGCAATATTTCAGATTAATAAAGAAAACCTATCTCTGGTTATAATTTGCACTAAGGGACACATCCTTGCAGTACTAATCTCTCTTATTTTTTCCTCATGCAAGAATGTTGTCATATTTACTTACTCTCTGCCCTTGTGCCATCATTCCACTGGGAACAGCTGAGCAAAATACCCTCAGCAATCTCATTTCTAGTCCCCACCAGCAGAATGGGTGAAGTATTCAGGACTCTTCATGCTTTTGGCTTGGAGAATATCAAAGTTTTGGGCTTTTGTGTATGTTTTGTTGGGGTTTTTTTTCCCCTTACAGGTTGTTTCACTGACACTGACTATGAGCCCACAACAACACTCCTGCTGGATGCACTCAGGATGAACCCAGAAAGGGCAGTGCTGGTGAAGAATGGCTGCCTGGCCTTAGCCAGTCTTCTGAGGCTGTCTGGTAACATCCAGCAACTCTTTCTAAACTGCAAATCAGTTCAGAGTGGATGTTTCTGTATAGATCAAGATTCATAGTGGGACTGGGACTGACCTGTGCTCTCCCAAGTTCATCTTTTCTTGCAGGACTGGAAGGGGAAATGATGAAACTGGAAGTGTAAATTTTTTCCCTGTGAACCAGAGAGGTTGTGGCAGCCTCATCCCAGGAAGTGTTCCAGGCCAGGTTGGATGGGGCTTGGAACAACCTGGTCTAGTGGAAGGTGTCCCTGCCCATGGCATGTTAGATCAGCACAATCTGATCTATCAGTAACCTGAGAGAGCTTTGGGAGTTATTTGATGAAGTTGTTTCTGCTGCATAAAAGGGCAGAGCTCAATCAATGTGAAAACAATAGACACCAAAATCACTTCTGCCATGCATGACAGAGTTATGCATATATGTTCTTACATATACTTGTTGCCCAGATATGCTTGAGAATAGTTGTTAGGAAGACAGAAAATAATGGGCACAACTTCCTGAAATTTATGGCACCTGTGCTAACTGGTGAGGGGATTGGGAAGCAGCTAATGCAGTGTGTAGCCACCAGTGAGCCCAGCAGTGTTTGTCTCTCTTTCAGAACTAGCAGCTTTGGCATTCATAGTGGATGCAAAGGGCAGTGGAATAACCCTGATCAAAGCTGCTTACCACATTCACTTTGATGATGCAGGAGTGGTGGAAGCTCTGTGTCTGCTGATGAATGAGATGGCTCAGTATGGTGAGATGGCTAGTGCTGCTATTTGTTGTGTCTCCTCCTCTCACCCAACCCCAAAAGATAGTAAACCCCTAATAGCAGCTGCTCAGGTTCCTGTTAGTTGCTGTCAGGAAAGACTTAACTATGTGTCTGAGACAGGAGGATGAATTGGAATTGAGAATTCATCCCACTTGTTCCAAATAATTACCACTGATGGAAAACATTGTAACCTCATTTTTTTTTGCCTTTTCCCTGTGTAGATCCATCCTCTCCCTAAGCTCCAGTGGCAGTTGTGCTATAACCATGAATTATCCTGTTCATTGACATTGCAGATGAGGTTGTGCTGGATATGCTGTCCCAGAAAATGGAAGAACTGCTGTCTGAAATAAAGCTCCAGTTTTCATCTAACAAGGTATGGAGAAGTCACTGTGATAACAGAGTGGATGCTTAGTGTATTATTTCTGGTGATGGACTGGATCATTTTCAAATGGTTACAGTGCAGAAATTCAGGGAATGAGCTGTATGTGGGGTGAAGAGTGAGCAAGAATAGTTCTAACTACTCAGAGTAAGTTGTTGAAAGGGTTTTTTTCTTTGTGCTGTAATTTTAAAAAGCTACGTTCTGGCCTCTTGCAACATCACATTAATTTACTACAGTCTTCAGGCTAAAGTTTACAGGAATAAAGCCTAAATAACATTACAGCCAGTTCTTTTTGGTTTGGAAGTGGCATCCTTAACAAAAAAAACCAAACCCAAACCAACAAAGCCTTTCTGGGAGTTTCTATGAAGATTTAAGTTACATGAAATTTCAGCTAGTAACACCGAAAAAGGGCAAACGTTGAAACAGAACAGCAAAGTTAGTGTCATTAATATTTCCTTTGCCATGGCTTTGCTGTCCATAAATAATGATCACAAGTTTGTTCATCAGAGTGGTTAGTTTCATAACCTTGCTCTTTTTTGTTATGCATCTACATCATTTGTCTCCAAGACAGTTACAAAGTGTTCTCCAGTGTCTCCTGCAGGCATTGCCTGCACCATCTTGCTGAGCACTGCAGGAAAATATACTCCCAGGAGAGAAGAAAGCTCCCTCAGCTCTAAACCCACCTCGTTGTTAGAACAGCAGCCACTTTACAGCCCTGTGTTAGACACAGTGTTTTAATTAATAAATGAATACAAAAATAAGGGAAGCAACAAGGGAATCTTCTGTTTGACATGTCTCACATTTCTCTCCAGGAGATAATAACCCTTGTGGATGCAACACTTCTGAAACTGCAGAAGTAAAAGAAAACCTTTTTTTTTTGTCTAAGAACAAGACTTGAACACTCCTGGATCCTCCAGAAATACTCTATAAGATTTTTCTCACCAGAAAGATGAATATTGGACTATACACAAACAGCTCTATATTCTGTCGGTTAAGGTACCACAACTGTGTTACTAACAGCAGTAATTAAGAATTCACCTTACTCTGCAGACCTTAACATATCTGAAATAAAGACTTGGGAGTTTTGCCAAAGCTATGACAGTTTGTTCCTTCATCTATCATAATTTAATTGGTTTTAACTTGCACAGTGTGTATTTGCCTTTGCAGCAATGTAACTGAGGAATTTCCTCACAAATGCAGGCATCTGTTACCATTAATAGGCATTAGGCACAGGAACCATCCAGAAGGGACACCAGCAGGATTCCTGGATGGCAGCATCCCTGTACCAGCCTAGGAAGTATTATCTTTGGATTGATTTTATGAAGGAGCTGCTGTCAGTTCTGACTTATCTCTAAATTTGTCCTGGAATGTGACATGAAAGCAGCAAATGCTGCAGGTAAAGACAGAGGGGGAGAATCCTTCAGGCTTTACATTTTTTGTTGTTAGCTTTGTTCTTAATAGCAGCTTCCCACTTCTTCTTCTCTAAGGTGTACAGTCTCATAGCTGCTTGTGCATCCTGAACCTGAAAGAGAACAGAACCAACAGGAGCCTTAAGGAGACAGAGCTGACACGATAAGAGCATGACTGTTAGTAATCATAGCATAGAATGGTTTGGGTTGGAAGGGACTGCTGAGGTTCACTAGGCTCTCCCACTGTTTATCCACCCTGCCACAGTGCAGAATGCTGTTTTAGGGTAAGCAGTTGATACTTGATCATGACTTCTTTTCCCTGAAGATCTTAAAATAACAAGAATTAACATTTAACTGCTCGTTTGTGCCAAAGAAGTTTATGGAAATAAGGAAACCTAACAGTGAGCAGGCTCAGATGACAATCTCCCTGCATGCTGCCCAAGCAGAGCTTGCTGGCTTTTGGCTGGAATGAAAGCACAGCATCCTGGATTGAACCCAGATCCTAGAGCTAATGTGGATGTACCCAGAAATGTCCTGAGGAGATACATACCGAGCAGTGCTCTGATGTCTGCACTTGAACATTGAGCAGCCTCTGACAGAGCAGCTTCAGGGATGGCCTTGAACTCTAGAAACAGAAGAGATCATAGAGCCACACTTGAAATACACAGAGACACATAAAATTAGTAAGTGCATTTCTCAAGGAATAGCACATCCAAACTTCCACTGATGAAATATCAAGGGTAATTTGAGCATTATGAGATTTATGTGTGCACTACTGAGAGGATTCTTTGTGTATTACCACAGCCCTAAGGTTTATGTTTGAGGTGCTCAGCTGTGAAAAAGAAAACCTGAGTTGTAGTTACAGAACTTAAAACACCTCCCAGTAATCTGAACCTTTGCTCCTGCAGTCTCAGCAGAAACTTGAAGCCATCTGTTTTTTTATATCCCTATGGAAATGAAACCATTAAGAAGACTGTGTAAGCTTTACTGTAAGTGCAACTCTACCATCTTATTTTGTTGGCCAGGAAAGTGTTAGGAAGCACATGCAAGTGCTAAAAAATGGGAAAGCCACTGGATTTTGTGCACAGGTGTTACTGGTAATGTTAGCATTTCACTCAGTAAGCACTGGACTAAACTGGTATTTCTAAGGGACAAAAAGCAGACATTCATGTTCCAGGTAGGACAGAAGGAACAGGGTCATGTAGAGACAAGCACAGGAGTGAGTCAGCAGCTCCAGAGTCAGTTAACTGAGTGCACCTTCCCATCAGTCTCTTACCTTGACTCTCTCTTTGAAAGGTTTGTATCTCTGTGTGTCCCTTATCTGCTTCCGAGGATGATCCAGAAATAGGACCTAGAAAAAATTACATTCCCAGTCCAAAACATGCTATGGCATGAGATTTTATACAGCTGAATGTACAGCTGCCTGCTGTTTACTTCCATCTGTTAAAAGAGATACTTTAAAACCAGGAAAGGACAAGACCAAGATGATCCAGAAACTCCTGGATTCAGGAACCACAGTTCTACCTAGTATGAGAAACAGGAATGGATCTGGAGGCAACACCTGCAGTGCTGGTACAGCCTGACATCAGCTACCTGTCTGTGGTAATGATGACCAGACTGCTGAGCTCTAGGGGCTGAAACAAAGCATCCACAGAGTCTTTTCATCATTCTGTTTCTTTCCTGTCAGTGCTACTGACAACAGAGCTTGGAAGCTGAAGAACTGTAGTGGGCAAGTGACTAGGGCTGTAATTGGTGCAGCATGAAATGACAAGAAACCGAGGGAACAGTGCTAGAAACAACTTCCAGGTGTGTTCACCTGAATGATGTATTAAAAATGTAATCAATCATAAATGTGCAGCCGTGTACCTTTAGATCATTCTTCAGAGCATGTCCAACTAAAATCCTTCCCTTCAGGATATCAGCAACCTCCTTCTGAACCTTCTTAAAATCTTCACCTGGAAATGCCACACAAGGAAACACTTTCCATGAGCAAACTCCAATTAAAACACTGTATCTTCTCTGTGAAAGCAACTGTATCCTTGGGACGGATTTGTACAGTACACTAAATCCTCTGCTTGTTAGAATCACCATCCCTGGAGGTGTTCAAGAGGCACCTGGATGTGGCACTGTGATGTGATTTAGGGGTTACAGTGGTAGTGCTGGTGGGTGATTGGGCTTGATGATTCTATAAGAACACAGAGAATTCCCCAAAGAGCATAGGATGAATAGGAAGTCTTTTATTATTCCCATACCATAATCCACCAGCTAATAATTTCTTCAAGGGCATTAGTGATCACTCTGTAAAAAGTACTTCTTCCCACATTTTTCCTTAGCATCAAGACTACACTTTGTTTTCCCCAAATCCTCTGTGACACCTATTTCCCCTCCTTAAAGAGCACTTTGGGGGAAAACTCCCTCCTACCTGTTCTGATATTCTCAGGGCGAATGCCACTCACAGCTGTCCTGTAGTCAGTCACCTCCTCTGTAGGCTTCACAAACTTGTCATAAATGCACTTGCCAAACTGGTTCACAATGGACACTCGAGCCACAATGCTGTCCTCCCCCTTGGGACCCACTCCCACCATCTCACAGTCCATGGCCACAGCTCTTGTCACCCTGAAATACAAAGCACAGCTCAGTGACACCTCTGCAGGGAAAAATGTGGAGTTCACAAGGTGCACGTGTTGATTCAAACAGGGAAAAGTCTGTCAGGGAGATGTCAGCTCATCCTCTGCACCTGCAGATCAGTTATAGAAGCTAACCTCAATGCCTTTGCTGCCACCCTTCCCCCTGGAATGCCACTCACCCATCAGAAGCATTTTCTTTAACCAGCACTTGCTCCACAGACCCTTTGGATTGATCTGTTTCCAGTCCCAGGTTTCTTCTGGCAATTTTCGCTGCTTCAGGACCTAGTGCTGCTTCAATATCTTTTGGATCAACATCATCAAACCAGATGTCAGCCCTGGCAAGAACAGATTTAATGACATTTAATGACCTTAAAGCAATCTGGTGTTTAATGTACAAAAAAATACATTTTTATTTTTTACTTCCAGAAATTAGCTCTGTGAAAATTAGTCTGGTGTCATCATCTCTGCAGGTTTCTTGCTGTATCTGAGGAGCAGGACAACATGTGACATATTTTTCCCAAAATTTCAAGTGGAAGAGTGCAGCTGTTTTGAATGTAGCTCTCTGTGCTCCTTATACACTCCTCCCAAAATGAACATTCCCATCCCTGAGGTACTCACTCTTTGGGCTGCTGCTCCACGGGTTCCTCAGCTTTCCTCCTCTTGTGTTTGACATCACTGTTCTCCTTCTCACCATTGTCATGTTTCTTTTTCTCCTTCACACCACTGACATGTTTCTCTTCCTCTTTCACACCACTGACATGTTTCTTTTCCTCCTTCACACCACTGTCATGTTTCTTTTTCTCCTTCACACCATTGACATGTTTCTTTTTCTCCTTCACACCACTGACATGTTTCTCTTCCTCTTTCACACCACTGACATGTTTCTTTTCCTCCTTCACACCACTGTCATGTTTCTTTTTCTCCTTCACACCACACCACTGACACTCTTCCTCTTTCACACCACTGACATGTTTCTTTTCCTCCTTCACACCACTGTCATGTTTCTTTTTCTCCTTCACACCACTGACAAGTTTATTTTTCTCCTTTACACCACTGCCAAGTTTATTTTCCTCTTTGCAGCCTTTTCCATTGCTTTTAGTGCCATTTAAATCCTTATTCACTGCAACCCCCTTGGATTTTAGCTTAGCCAAAGGAGGACTGTCCTTAGCAGAACCATTGTCTGTCTTATTTATGGAGTTGGCCTTTACCACATTCCCATTCCCATTCATTGCTGGAACTTGTGGACTTTTGGCTGCTTTGGGTGGCTGCTTCTTTTTGGTGTCTGTTTGACATGCAGAGAAGGACTTATTGGAGTTATTTGCCTTTTGTTTCAGTATCTAAAATGATAAAAAAACAGGAAAAAAAGGGTGATTTCCCTCTGTTCCTAGCCCCAGTGTCCTCCTGGCATTCTGCCTCAGTGCCAGGTGGGCCTGGATTCTCTAGATGAGGAGAGCTCATAGTATCCTTTCAGTATCTGAAGGGGCTACAGGGGAGCTGGAGAGGGACTCTGTGTTAGGAACTGCAGTGACAGGACAAGGGGTAACGGATACAAATTGAAGGAGGAAAAATTTAGATAAGATATTAGGAAGAAGTTTTTCCCTGTGAGGGTGGTGAGACACTGGCACAGGTTGCCCAGGGAGGCTGTGGCTGCCCGGCAGTGCTCACAGCCAGGTTGGATGAACCCTTGAGCAACCTGCTCTGGTGGGAGATGTCCCTGCCCAGGACAGGGGTTGGGGCTGGATGATTTGTAAACTCCATCCCAACGCCTCAAATTCTACGAGCCTATGATTCTCACTCCCCGCAGCAGGCTGTCCCCAGTCCCACAGTGCATCACCTAACGAGAGAGACACGCTAATAGCTCATTACACGCGGAGCCGCACTCAGCCCCCACCAGCACGGCGACACCATCCCCCTCACTCCCCCTCGCATCCCCCTCACC